TGCCTTTCTTTCTAGATGCAATCACTTTCTCCTCTAAAGCATATAGCAGATTTTATGAATAATATTCAATGCAGAAAGAGCTCCAAAAATAATTTTACAGGTAAGGTGTTGTTAGGCTGATGTGGAACACTGGCAGGCGAAAGAACAAAGGCACATCACGGGAAGGGTAGCAGGAGGCGGAGCGTTTCGTTTCATTCGTTTCACCGAAGAGCTTACATTTAGTAGAGCAGGAAAAACAAACAAGCAGGAGCATCTGCACTAGCTAGTGAGTGCCTCATCCCTTCCCACGGCTTAGTCACAGTGGAAGGGAACCATTACAGTGTTTTGGGTGTGTACAACTAAACTCCACTGTCCCCTTTTATCTCTAAAAGGAAAAGCTTGAATTTTGTGTTTAAAACCACAATGAGGGTTTGTCGTTGTTGTTGTTTTAACATTCTCCAGTTTGTTTTGAAATTTATAGTCTTAAAAATCCACTCATTTCAGTAAGGCGGTTAAGGTACACACTGCATGGTGTTTTTATGCCTAATAGCACCTCTGATAGTCCCTAATGCGTATTATGTACACACATGCCTTTTAGCATCTGGTTCTACCTGACAGCTTACAGCATTAGGCTGAACATTGTCATGAACAAGTAAAATGGCAAGCAGTGTTACAATGGATTCATACCAGAAAAAGCAAGCCCTTGTAGAACTTCTGCTTAATACCTTTCCATAAAGATTATAAAGTGACGTATTTACCAGCACATAATTAAGATGTCATACTCTTTAAATATTTAAATTATTCTTCCAGAAGTGGGATTTGGGCCAATCAGTTGATGATTCTCCTCTTGAGTTAGGATTTAAGCATGCTTTTTTAAAAAAAAGATTTATTTATTTTTATTGGAAAGGCAGGTTTACAGACCCACTGGTTCACTCCCCAAATGGCAGCAATGATTGGAACTGAGCTGGTGTGGAGCCAGGAATTTCAGGGAGCTGGATTGGAAAGGGAATAGTCAGGACAATAACTAGTACCTATAAGAATGCCACATTTGAAGGTGGAGGATGAGGCAATTGAACCATTTTACCAGCTCCTAAGCATGCATTTTGTATAGGAAAATCTGTTTTATATCCTTATTGCTGCTTATTCTTTTTTTTTTAATTTTATTTTAAAAAATAATTATTGCATAGTTGATCAGGGTGGGAATGATCAAGGTTTAGGGAAAATTGGGTGAATTTGTTACTTCCAAATTTGCCATTTCTTGTTGTTCCTGGGGAAGGGGAGAACAAAAGGGAAAACCACTCATGACTTTCCACACATCCCAGTACCCAGGGATGGGGAGCCGCCATCTCATATCAACTCAGAGTCTCGATGTGTACATATTCCGAGGGTTCTGTCCAAGTGGTTTGGATAGTTCTGAATTGCTGATTTCACTGATCCGAGGATGATGTCGCCCTCCCAGTGTCCATGGGCTCCATTCACCGAAATTATTTGCTGTCTTTGTTCGCTTGGGGTTGTTGTCCAGTTAGTTCTGTTCTCCTGCTACAGCATCAGATGTGCTGTCTTAATCTTGTTTTACATCATGGCCTGTGTCCACTGCTCCACCTTTTTTTTATCAATTAGGGCGTGTTCTTGCAGGCGAGTAAGTCCAAGAAGCTGGGCCAGGTGTCCCAAGCATCGCCGGATCCTTCACCCCTGGGGTTTGCAAACCCAACACCCACTTCTTATGCCAGCCCTGAGAGTCAGACCAGGAGACCCAGTTCCCACCAGATTCCCCACCCCAGGGTTCATGGGACAACATCCACCTAGAAGGTGGGTCCCAGGATCTGAGCCAAGTGACCCACACCCCACCAGTTCCCCCTGTCCCTGGGGCTCAGGAACCCATCCCCCACCACCTGTGTGGACCCCATGACCTGAGCCAATCTACCCAACTCATATCAGATCCCCTGTCCCTGGGATTCATGTACCTGGCCCCTGTTTGGCCCAGGCTGGAATGACTCGCTTCACCTCAGCTTCCGCAGTCTTATTGCACCGCCTGGCCTAGTCGAGTCTGTCTGCTATTCCAGCTCCTGCTGGTGAGTGTTGCAGCCTATCCCCATCCAGCCTGATTGTTGTCCTGGTCCTAATGTGAACAGGTTGGTGTTCTAGCCCGATCTGGCTCCTCCTGCCAGATCTGGTTCTCAGATCTGCCAATAGGTATTATGTGCTGGCCCAAACTGGTCTGTCCCCAGAACTGATCCACATGTATACTGGTGGGTACTGTAACCTGGCATGGTCTGGGCTGCTTCTTGCCTTGCTTCTTACGTTCTCCTGCAGGGTCTATGTCCCAGAGAAGGAGTTTCCTAAGCTCTTCATCGAGTCTCCTCCCAGTGGCAGTTCTTGTGCACACCATTGGGTCATTGACCCCAGGTTGACTTTGTCCAGCTCCTGTTGTGGTAAGAACAGTGGCCTTGCTCAACCGGCCATACCCATTCTGATTCTTGTTGATGGTTTTGTAGCCCAGCATTACCTGGTATGCACCCAGACACAGCTTGCATGTAGTTCAGCGGGAGTCAAGACCTGGTCTGGCCAATTCTACACCCAGAATGGCTCTCATGAGTACCAGTGGGGGCTGGAGTCAAGCCCAATTTGTCTCACCACCGCCTCAGTGCACACGCATGCCGGTGCAGTCAGTAGCCATGTACACTCATGCCTGCTGCATCCAGTCCTTCTCTTGTTCTCACCAGTGGGAACACCAACTGATCTGGGGTGCTCCCTTAAATCCCCAGCTAGACCAGACACCATCCTCAGTTATAGGAGGAACCAGCAGAGATTGCAGTTCTACAGGGGTGAGCCCACATTGCCCCCACAGATTCTGCTAATGGACCAACTTATCTCACTCTTGTTCCCCTTCCAAACCACTGTGTGGGTCCCCTACATATATACACATGTCATGGACTTATCAATGGAAGTCCCTCAGCTGTGATTACTAACTTGGGTATAAAAAATAAAGGTCCTCTCCCACTGCTACCTGTGCAATCCCATAATCCTACATTAAGTCATGCCGCTTGAATCATGAGGGTATGCCCCCGGGCTACAGGTACTCCTGTGGGTCAAAAAACCTGGCCTCCAAGATGGGGTGGTCCTGGAAACATGCTGAGCCTTCCTCCCCCAAGGGAGCCAGTGTGCTCAGCTGCTTGTACCTTTTGCCAGGGTCGAAAAAAGCTGCTTATTCTTGAAAACTTTTATACAGGGGCTACCATGATAGTTCAATTGGTTAATCCTCCACTTGCAAACACCAGGATCCCATATGGGTGTCTATCCATGTCCAGCTATTCCACTTCTCATCCAGCTCTCTGCTGGTGGTCTGGGAAAGCCGTTGAGGATGGCCCAGGGCCTTGGGACTGTGCACCTGTAAGGGAGGCCTGAAAGAAGCTCTTAACTTCAGATTGGCTCAGCTTTGGCCATTGTGTCCATTTTGGGAGTGAATTAGCTGTTGGAAGATTTTTTTTAATCTATTTTTCTCTCTGTAAAAATCTGCTTTTCCAATAAAAATGAATAAATCTTTTAAAATTCTTTTATTTTGATAATCTTTACATAGTTGATTAGGGCACAAAAGGTCAAGGGCTACAGGAAAGTGGGTAAGACCATTGTTTCCACATTTTGTGTGTGTGTGTATCTGGGGTAAGGAGGGAGATAAAGGGAGAAGCTCTACCCATCCCAGGGTCCCTGACGAGGGGCATGCTCAAGTGGTTTTGATAGTTCAACAGTTCTGAATTGCTGCCAATCTCACCATTCCAAGCATGATGAAATCTCTCCAGAATCCACTGGCTGACATAGTCCACCTTACGGTCTCCATTTGCCCAGATTTTCACTGCCAACGCTTGGCTGGGGTAGTTGCTCAATTTGTTCTGTCCTCCATCCTCTGTTATGGTACCAGGTGTCCTCTGCAGGTTCCGATGGCCTGCCATATCCTCCACGTGCACCGGGATATTCTGTCCATTGTTTTGTCTGAGCCTCAGAGGAGGCACAGCTCTGACATATGCACTCCACGGTCAAACCATGGAACCTGCAATTCTCTCCATGGATGGGGTTCTGAGTCCAGTGGTTCAGTTGCGGGTATCCCCAAAGAAATATTATCTGAGGTGATCCCAGACCTGATTCTTGTGTGTACTTGCCAGCTCAGGGTCCAGCACAGTCTGTCGCCCCAATCAGCTGGTGGTTGCAATTGCTGGGTCAGTTCTGTATCCAGCCCTGTCTTCTACATGAACCAATGGGTGTTGCAGTCCAGCCTGATTCTGCCCAGCATACACTCGGTCCTCACACAAACCAGTTGGAGCTGCAGCCTAGTTGGAGCGACCCACAATAACCCCCCTTGCCCGCCCCCCGCCCACGCTTGCCGGTATGTACAGCAGACTTGTCCAGTCTGTACCACATTCTGGGCTTCCATGCTTTGACCACATATTAAACATTAAATAAGTAAATACCCTTTACAACAGAATTGGTCAGGGCTATGGCTTGCGAAGGATGCCAGCAATGTAACTCATTGTGAAGATGCCTTTTCCTTCTGCTGGCCTGAAAATACTTGACCCAGAAGCTGTCGTGGGTCCCTCCACTTTGGAAAGGTTTCCTTTCTCTTTCTCTCTCTTTTTAAAGATTTATTTATTTTTATTGGAAAGGTGGAAATACAGAGAGGAAGATCTTCCGTCTGATGGTTCACTCCCCAAGCGGCCACAATGGCTGGAGCTGAGCCAGTCTGAAGTCAGGAGCCAGGAGCTCTTCCAGGTCTCCCACATGGGTGCAGGGTCCCAAGACTTTGGGCTGTCCTCAGCTGCTTTCCCAGACCACAAGCAGGGAGCTGGATTGGAAGTGGTGCTGACGCCCGTATGGGATCCTGGGTACATGCAAGGTGAGGACTTTAATCACTACGCTATTGCACCGGGCCTGAAAGGTTTCCTTTCTCTATCAGGCTGTACACTTGGTGAAGCAAGTCTTGACCATGCGATAGCTAATATGATCCACATTGACTAATGAATTCTTTCCAGGTCCTGTTGAAGATGAATGTGCTTTTGAGAAATCGCCTCTCGTGTCTGATGCTCATGACAGTGCCTCACAGATGCCAGAGTGGTTCCCCGCCAGCTGTCCCCCTGGGGTCAAGGATTTTAACTGACCCAGCCCGAGTGTTTGAACACAATATGTGGTGAGTTTCTTTTTTTTGTCTGACATTGTGTATGTGGTACTTAAATATCACCCAGGGTATTATTTTCCTTTGGTACCAAGAAAGTGTTTTTAAAAAGCGGGTGACCTAACTTAGGTCACAACAAGCCCAGAAGTCAGGTTAACAAATCTCTGCACCAGTGCTGGCATTTCTTTGGAACTGGAATCGGAAGTCTGAAACCTCCCAAATGCTTTCCAAAGCAACTTTGGGATGCTTCCGGGCCCTCTCTGTTTGTCTCTGGTCCTGACTTGCCATTTATCCCTGTATGTGGGCCTAGGGAAGCTTTTCCTAGGTAGGGTCCTCCATGCTGCTTTTACAAATACTTATTAGTTGGGAAATGTATATTCAGTACTTCCTCCTTTCTGAGCACCAGTGAGAACACATTGGTGTGACCCTAACCCATGCTTTCTGGAAATCCACACTGTTTATAGGAAGAATTGGTAAGTAGCAATGTAAAGCCGCCAACTGGGGTGTGAGATATTTAGTGCAGCAGTTAAGATACTTCTTAGGTTGCCTACATTGGAGTACTTGGTTTGAAGTTTCTCTTCCAATCTAGCTTCTTACTAATGTACATCCTGAGGTGCCCAGATGATGGCTCAGCTATCGTGATCCCTGCCACCCACCTCAGAGGAGCAGATGAAGTTCTAGGCTGCTGATTTCCGCCTGACCTAGCCTTGGCTGTTTCAGGCATTTGGGGAGTGAACCAATGGATGAAAGATCTGTCTGCGTCTCTCAAATAAAAGGAAAATTTAAAAATGAAGGAATTTTTTTTCAAAGGAAGCAAATTTGCAGGGCCCAGGGAATGTTATAAATCACATATCTTGTAAGAAGAAATCAGTCACTTAAAGCCACTTCTGTGTGGTAGGCATATTCAGGAAGAGCTCTTAACGTGAGTGAAGCTGAGATTAGTTATTGCTTATTCTGCCTTCAGGACCTAGCATAGTGTTGGACACATAGCTGTCTGTTGGATAATGATTTGGATAGGCAAAGCTAGAGATCAGGCATTCTAGGCAGGTGGAAAGTCATAACACATGGAGATAAGAAAGGTTAAGGCATGTTTAGGAGACAGTTATCTAAAGAAACAGCTCTTGTAGGAGATTGCAGAAAGGTTGAAATGATACAGGCCAGATACAGGAGTGGGAACCAGAATATCCCTGGCCCTGAATTCATGGCTGGAGCACAAGGCATTGCAGAGCCACTGAAGATAGGTGACGTTAGGCAGGATTTGTATTTGGAAACCATGTGCTGGACAGATCAGCAGGGAGATCTAGATTCGCAGAGCTAGTGCGTGAAAGAGATTACAAAGGAAGATTGACTAGAACTTGGTGCGTGTGCAGAATAATGGATAAAGAAGAATTGGACTCTGGAATTTACCTTAAGTGATTGATAGAAATCAGAAAATCAAGAGGCAAATTCTTTTTTATTTTGAAACAAATAAGGTGAATTTAGTTTTAGACAGTTTGAATAGACTTTGAGAGCAGATCGCAGATACTGCCTTCAGGAAGGCAGAAAAAAGGGGTCAGGGCTAAAGATGTGGACATTTGGGTGTGATGCTTGCGGGTGAAACTGTTGCCAGAGGAGTTTCTACAGCAGGGTCACCAGGGCTGGGAAAGTGATTCTTGGCCTTATGTTTTTATGACAACAGATTGTCCATTTTTTTTTAAGATTTATTTTTATTATTTTTTTATTGGAAAGGCAGATATACAGAGAGGAGAGACAGAGAGGAAGATCTTCCATCCGATGATTCACTCCCCAAGTGATCGCAATGGCCGTTGCTATGCCGGTTCGAAGCCAGGAGCCACTTCCGGGTCTCCCACGCGGGTGCAAGGTCCCAAAGCTTTGGGCCGTCCTCGACTGCTTTCCCAGGCCACAGGCGGGGGCTGGAAGGGAAGCGGGGCTGCTGGGACTAGAACTGGCGCCCATATGGGATCCCGGGCGTGCAAGGCGAGGACCTTAACCACTGCGACACCGCACCGGGCCCCAGACTGTCCATTTTAAAAAGAAATGCTGCATATCTCACTAATTAGACCTGCACTGTGCAGGAAGGTAGTTTCCAGCTAATATGTGGTTACTGGGTACATGAAATGTTTGGTTAGAATTGAAATATGTTGTGAGGATATGAAGACTTAATACAAAAAAAAGTAAGGTATCTCATTACTTTTTATATTGAATTGCATGTTGAATCAGGTGAATTTTTAGACATGTTGAGTTAAAATATTAACAAAATTAATTTAATGTCATTATCTTCTTTTAATGTGGCTATTAAGTATGCTCATAGGTGGTCTGTATTATACTTTTGGTATCCAAAAATGAAATTACTGAGTGAAACCATTTTGACTTCATCACAAATATGGACAGTTTGCAATAACTGCAATAACAGCCTGCAATGGCTGTGAGACAAAATGGACCTTTTGCCAGGCAATTAAATCTCCAAAGGAACTTCTGGTTCTGGGCATGCTCCTGATTTACCTTTTTTTTTTTTTTTCTTTATTAGACCATACAGACTTTGCCATTGCCATTCTCTTTTTCTGTTTGCTGCCACCTGCTCTTTTTGCCTGAGATTCTTACCTGCTGATCCAAGTTCCTTTGCCACAGTCTTTCAGGAAAGCAAGGGTGATCTGGTTCAGTCTCAAACACTGTGTGCTGGTTTTGAGCTGGCTGCATGAGAGTCCCTCAGGGAGTTACTGTTTCACTGAGACTCGAAGTATCCCCAGGGATTTTTAACTAGAAAGAGTTCTTTGGATAATTCTCTTCAGTAGCCAGCTCTTGGAAACCCTTGGTCCAGTTCAGTGATTTTCACACTTCTGTCTCGTAGCAGAGTTTTTCTCAAGTGAAATTTTAACATGGGGTCGCAGGATTTATTTATTTTACAGTCGATCTTAGCCAAAAGGCCAAGATGTGAGGATTTATTTATTTTAATGAATTGATTTCTTTGGGTTTATTTGAGAGCAAGAGAAAGAAGACAGCAGTAGAGAGCTTCCGTCCATGCTCTGGCTGTCCTGCCAGATGCTGACAAGTGAGAGCCACCAGGAGCTAGAAACTGAACCCCAGTTAAAGAGAGAGAGAGAGAGATCCCTACTTATGACCTGGGAAGGCAGTCGATGATGGCTCAAAACCTTGGAACTCTGCATCCATGTAAGAGACCTAGCTTCAGATCAACTCAGCTCTGGCCACTGCAGCCATTTGGGGAATGAACCAGTGGATGGAAAATCTTTCTCTGTTAACTCTCCTCTCTGTAAATCTGCCTTTCCAATAATAACAAATGAATCTTGAGAGAGAGAGAAAGAAACAGTATAAAAGGTTACTATAAATAGTTAAGACAGCAAAGACTATGGGAATTCAGAATAGGAGGAGAGAGCAGGTAGGATTTAGCTTGAGCTTTGTAAAATGAGGAGTATTTGAATATAGAAGATCATTTGTCTTAGGATAAATAGAGGCATAAACAAAGATTTTGATTTGGGAATAGATACAGGAATACAGGAATTATATTCTAAAACATGTTAAGTAGACCAACACTATTGGGTGAAAGATTTCGTATTTTGAAAGTGGATGGGCCATGTGAGAGAAGGACTATGTAGAATGATAGCCCTTGGAGTGACTCTTTTATCCCTATTGTTTTGATATGTTGATTTGTGCCTGTAACTGGGCTGAATTCTGTGTAGAACTCTAAAAGAGGACTGGGAATTAATCACTGCTCTAATTTCACAAACAAGCTAGAACCTTCCAGGTAAAGAAGATGGGATGGATCTGAAAAACAAGAAGCTTCCTGCTTCAAAATAAACGAACAAGAAGGGATAAAAGACAAGCAGAACTATAACAATAGAATCGCCCCTGCCCAAATGCCAAAAGCACAAAAGACTGGTGACCAGGGAAAAGAAAGATAGAATCTATTGTGCCTCAACTTGGCTGTTAACCCAGTCTCTGTCCCTCAGAAGCAGTACCAGGAAGGGAAACTTAACTGCCAAATCATAAAACTCATTACTCATATGCATTAGGCTAGTCTGGCATAGGCTGAAAAAAGAATGCTTAAAAATGAGTGTTCTCAACTATTGCAACAGAACTGGAGTTCTTAGCCATCAGGGAAAGTGGCAGGTTCGCCATTGTCCGAGGTTCGATGCTAAATAGAAAGAACTGTCTGAAGAACAAGGCAAGCATCTCTTAGGAACAGGATATCCCTAAGTAACAAGTGAATCCTAGCCTAAGATTTAGTGAATCGCAAAACATGACAGAGTGTTTCGGCTTTTAGCTCAGGGAAGGCCAAGATACAACTTTCTTTGTCCTGCCCCAATGTTCAATTGACACCAGTTACCTGCATGCCAGGTAGGTGCAGCCCAGTGTCACCAAGTACCTAAAGTGCACCTGTGTGGAAACCCTGGCTTCCCAGCTTTCCCCCTAGGTCTTTCTCCAAAAAGAGTTGATGATGATGTCACCAGGGCAACTGGTGGCTGAACAAGTGGAAGGATCATAGTGAGACTGAATCTGTAGGACCAGCAGGCCAGGTTGAGGTAGTACCTTCTGCTCTTCCCTGATCCCAAAGCCCTCTGGGAACCACCACAGACAGACAGACAGAAACAGAAAAACGCCAGGCTCACTGCAATGATCACTCTCAATGCGATTATTAACATCGCTTGACCTTGGAACTCCCTCGGGACTGCCCACCTTGTCAAATTGTAGGACTTCACAGATGACATCAACAGTGACACAGTGGAGTGTCCAGCTGGTTAAGAACTGCAAACAAAAGTATTTTAATAAAGAATCATTTAACAAAAGAGCAGACCCAGGCCCACCTAGAGGCTGCCTGCTAGTGCAGGGCAATGTTATCCGTGCTCCACCTCCCCAGCTCTGCCACCTCTACCGCAGACTTACTCCAGACCACAGAAAAATGGAAACAATATATAGTGCCTGGGCATTAAATGGAGTTTTCAAAGAAAGGCACCAGTGAGAAGTGGGGTGTCAAGCAAAATTTACCTGTCAAATAGTGG